CCCTGTGTCTCCCTTTATTATTTCCTTACAGGTCCTCAAGAGGGGTCAACTTCCTGCCCTCCACAGTCATCCTGTTTTCATAGCTGAGCCTTCCAGATGCCAGGTTCCTCAAAAGTTAGCAAATATTAACTCACTTTATGAGACATGCATATTTGTGGTCAATCAGGCCCAGGGTAAAAGGATATGTGTGCGGAGTAAGAGAGCCTCTACACTCCATTCTCAGAGGTAACCACCAATTCCCATGAGCGGGCTTCATCGTGTGTACAAGTTCCCCACACTATTTATTAAGGGTCTGTGCCAAAAGATGCTAGCATTAAAACAAGTATTTCTTGACCCAAATTTTGTAATCAAACTTGACCAAAGTATAATTTCAAAATATTGTCCCTTTAAAGTCACTTTCCTAGGGGAAGCCACCACACTGATGTTTGAGTCACAAGGCGTGCAAACTGTAGACAGGGCAGGCAGGTCTCTTGTCAGCTCCCCCTGAGGAAGCACGGTCTCCCCACAAGGAGATGGAGACCCACCTCAGGACGCTTTAGGAAAACAAGGCAGGAAACCCACTTTTTATTTGTTTGATCTGCCTGAGGCCAGAATAAAGAAGCAACTAATGGGTTGGAGGAGGCTGTATTTGAGGGGCAGGAAGGGAGGCCAGGGCACTATGAGAGAGGAAAAGGATCACTCCATGCTGTATGCATGTATGGGTAGGCCACAGTGATGCCTACCACACTGTGTAATTCACAGGCACCAATTTTATTTTATTTTATTTTATTTTTTTTCTTTTTTTTTTAAATTTTTTATTGTTGGCTGTTCAAAACATTACATAGTTCTTGATATATCATATTTCACAATTTGATTCAAGTGGGTTATGAGCTCCCATTTTTACCCCATATACAGATTGCAGAATCACATCAGTTACACATCCATTGATTTACATATTGCCATACTAGTGTCTGTTGTATTCTGCTGCCTTTCCTATCCTCTACTATCCCCCCTCCCCTCCCCTCCCCTCCCCTCTTCTCTCTCTGCTCCCTCTACTGACATTCGTTTGTCCCCCTTATATTATTTTCCCCTTCCCCTCACTTCCTCTTGTATGTACTTTTGTATAACTCTGAGGGTCTCCTTCCATTTCCATGCATTTTCCCTTCTCTCTCCCTTTCCCTCCCACCTCTCATCCCTGTTTAATGTTAATCTTCTTCTCATGCTCTTCGACCCTACTCTGTTCTTAGTTACTCTCCTTATATCAAAGAAGACATTTGGCATTTGTTTTTTAGGGATTGGCTAGCTTCACTTAGCATAATCTGCTCTAATGCCATCCATTTCCCTGTAAATTCTATGATTTTGTCATTTTTTAATGCAGAGTAATACTCCATTGTGTATAAATGCCACATTTTTTTTATCCATTCATCCATTGAAGGGCATCTAGGTTGGTTCCACAGTCTAGCTATTGTGAATTGTGCTGCTATGAACATCGATGTAGCAGTGTCCCTGTAGCATGCTCTTTTTAGGTCTTTAGGGAATAGACCGAGAAGGGGAATAGCTGGGTCAAATGGTGGCTCCATTCCCAGCTTTCCAAGAAATCTCCATACTGCTTTCCAAATTGGCTGCACCAATTTGCAGTCCCACCAGCAATGTACAAGTGTACCCTTTTCCCCACATCCTCGCCACCACTTGTTGTTGTTTGACTTCATAATGGCTGCCAATCTAACTGGAGTGAGATGGTATCTTAGGGTGGTTTTGATTTGCATTTCTCTGACTGCTAGAGATGGTGAGCATTTTTTCATGTACTTGTTGATTGATTGTATGTCCTCCTCTGAGAAGTGTCTGTTCAGGTCCTTGGCCCATTTGTTGATTGGGTTGTTTGTTCTCTTATTGTCTAATTTTTTGAGTTCTTTGTATACTCTGGATATTAGGGCTCTATCTGAAGTGGACAGGCACCAATTTTAAAACTGTTATTTTAAAAGAAGAGCTGATGAGAAGGAGTCTCGAGTGGCTGAGTCCTGTCTCGGCTGGTCCTGACCGGCTGACTCAGGGAAGCACACCTGGAGGTGCATTCAGTCCCCTCCTGAGGAGATTCTGACAGATCCCAGCCCTCCTGCACAGTCTGACTGCACCAGGACACAGTGCAAACCACACACACACACACACACACACACACACACACACACACACGGGAGGGACCGGGTCTCACATGGCAGGAGCTGCGTGATCCCAGGCAGGATGCCAGGCCCCAGTCAGCCACCTGCTCATCTGAAAGATGGGGATGATGTGGCCCTTCACGCTCAGGCTCAGTGTAGTGACTAAGGAAAATGGAGATAAAATCCTGCACTGTGTCAGACAGGTTGAACACACCTATGAAATTGTATGAATTGCTACTATTTATAAATGTTTTACTAAATATCACTGAATCCTGTCTTTAGCAGAGAGACATTTGAAAAAAAATTAAAATGTAAATATCAGGCTTTGAAAGATCAAGGGATCCTTTAAAGAATCATATTCATATTTAAGGTTTCTGATTGTTAAGTTATGCTCAATTTCTCTTTTTAAATCCTTCAAAGATACATTTTTAAAATTGATTTTCAAATACTAAAATTACTGATATTTGACTATGAAAAGTATACTTGGCACAGAAATTAGTGTACAATACACACAACCGTAAATCTGTTTCTATTTAGTGTAGTTATTTGGGCAGATTTCCAGAAAACAAAAACTGTCTGTCAAAAAACAAAAACAAAACCAAAAAAAACACAGAGATTTCCCCCGTAATTCATGAAAAGAGATCTGATCATGTAGACGCCAGTGTTTTTAAAAATAACATCTCTCCTCCAGTGACTCTAGCTAGGGAGGCTTTCTTGCCTTTTCACAGGAGGAGGACAGTTAAGAGACACATTCAGAGGAATCCCAAGAGAGGCTTGCTTCGGAACCTTTAGATTTTTTTTTTCTCAAATGGAGCACTGAGATTAAACACAAGCCCACCTATATGGAGGCCACACAATCTGTCAGTTCACAGTGGAGTCCTCAGCTATGCTGCCTTTTCTGAGAGAGTGGACAGGTAGACAGCAGAGAGACTCTGTTCTGGAGAAATGCAGAACTCCCCTCTGCCCAGGAGCCTGCTGAAGACATACAGGTGGCCTCGTTCTCTTTTAAAGAAAAGGGCTGTGGCCCTCCTGGCCTCTAAGCCTGGTGGCCCAGGCCCCTGTGGTCTCAGGGCTGCTGGCAGTGCAGGTGAAGGAGAGATGGATGGCACTGGTCTTTCTTGCTGTCTTCCTCGTGATCTGATGCAGGACTCTCTTCCCCAGTTGCTGGTACAAGGAGCTGAGCTGTTATAAGCCAGACTCCGTGAAGCAAAGCAATGTGGAAAGGGTGAACTGCCTCTTGTTGTGCAAGCCACACATTTCCATTCTGGTACCCAAAGCACCCTCTAGCACAGGTGTGGTCTTCCTGTGTGTTGCCCTTAACATGCTATCCCCCAGAGTCACCAGTAGAACTCAAGAGTTCTCGGAGCTGAACCTGGAAGACTGTTGTCCCACCAGCTGCATTTGGCTGCAACCTGCTTGCCAACTAGATGGCCCTTCCTGTCACCTACAGAATCATCAGCATCTGGGGAGGCAGTTCCTGCCCTAGGGCAGTCCTGCAGGGAGCACTTACCAGAACACATTCCTATGGCCATTGGTTACATGCAGGAATAGGCATGTATAAATGAGAGTTGTTAACAAGTATCAGTACCTTATAATGTTCACAACAGCATCATTATTTGTTAAAAGGATCCTGATAGCATTCTCTAACTGTCTCTAATACCAAAGGAGGCATTATAATATAGATTTAATTTTCCAGAGTCATCTTGAAAGGAATATTATGATCAAACATAAAAACTTCCTTCTATATAAAAATAATCCTTTGCAGAGAGTTTTCAATTTTACACTACATGTATCATCCCATTTGACTCTACAGCAGTTCACATGTGACAAGTGAGAAAACGGAGGTCTAAAGTACTTTAGGCATCAGCATCAAGATATAAAAAGGACAGGTCTGTAATATGCGTGGAAGCCCCTAAAGTCCCCCAGCCACTGCCCTCAGGCACACTATTTAGACAACCTGTAGGTGCTTGTGAATGACAGAGAAAAGAAAACCATTTCTACCCAACCTGAAATCATGCACTACTTTGGGAAATGGAATTGAATATGAGCACTGATCCCTAAGAGACTTTCAGACTGTGATATCCCCAAAGGCAATCTTTGATCAGTGGTCAAAGTACATATGCGACTTTCAACACTAAAGTCCCTGTTAAGTTCATCTTTGGCACATCTCATTACCATTTCCTAACTACCTGGGCCTACCTACTTCCAAAATCAGCTTTAAGACCATAGTGGGCAACAGACACCCACAGGAGAGAATGCAGGCCTGGGGTGCTGGCCAGGAGCAGGGGCACTTGGGCTCCCCTATGCTGCAGGACGTCCTTTCTCTGCCCTGCGCCTGCCTTCATGATGCTGGAGCCTCGGGATTGAGGCAGCACCAAGGAAGCCGCTCCCAGGAGGACATCGAGTGATGTCCTGTGAAGAGGGTGAGGAGCATCGACACTCCCCCTTCTTCTCAGAAGAAGAGCTTTGGCCTGGGAGCACACACATTATATCAGCTTCTGCCCAGGGTGTGTACGTGTATATCCAAATAAAGTAGACCTTATGCCAGAGTAATAGATGAATGCTGGGCCCCCGAATATCAGAGTTATCACTGAGTGCCTCGACCCAATGAATCATTTACTTTTATTCTGGCAACTGCCCATAGACATTGTAATAATTGCGGCTCCTCTTCCACACATAACTGGTGGGTCAGTCTCAGCACAGTTAATCTGTTTGCATGAAAACCCTGCATCCTGGGATGCAGGCTGCACACAGACGTTACCTTCCCGGGGCCATTGGGCCACAGGGAATTTAAAAGCCTTTCTGGCTCCTATGCCCTCTCCCCCAGTGAACCCGTCTTACCCACCAGTCCCCAGGGAGCCCTACCTGCGTGAGCGGTGGAACTGGCACCTCTTCAGGGGGATCTTGACTACATGCTCCTGCAGCCCCACGAACAGGACGCTCTGGCTGTGGAGGATTCGCAGGCTCCGGATGGGCTCCCTGCGCCTCTCCGGGAAGAGCTCGATCTCTTCCAGCAAACAGCTTCCCAAGGACTGATTCAGTGGCGCACGCACTTTTTTAATGGTGCCATAATCTGTGAAGGCAACAGGGTGGGAGGGAAATGGGGTCAGCGGTCTCACAGCTATGTCTGCTGTACTGAGCAGAATACACACAGCATTCGGCCATTATTCTCCATCTAGGAAAGCCATCGGAGCATCTTTCAAAAGTGCAGATACCCAGGTCCCACTGCCGACCCACACAGTCAGCTGCCTGGATGGGTGGCCAGGACACCCGTGCTTTTGAAGGCTCTGCAGTGATGCTGATGAGCAGCCAGGGCTCAGAACTGCTCTTCTACCACTGCCTATCCAGTTGCAAATCCAGGAACGGAGAGAATGGTAAACCTTGCTGTGGCTCACAGTAGCAAGCTTTGTGGAGAACATTAGGAGAAAGAAATCATCACGGGGCCATCTTGGATCCCTAGTGTCAGAAGTGCCAACTTTACTTTGCTGCCCACCAGGGGCAAAATGATTGAGAACTGCCAACATGTAGGAAAAGGAATGAGGCACGTTCCTCCTTCCTGCACAAGGAAGTGCATCCTCGCCTCTCTGCCTTCTCTGCTCTCATTTCCTCCCTCTTCTCTAGTTCTTGTTCTCTGGGTTGCTTTTCTTGACCTCAGATTTCCTAGTTATTTTCTGTCCTCTTGCACATCCATTTCTGACGGATCCCAGCCCTCCTGGCCCCAGATGTTCTGCTCACTAGTGTTTTGTGCACTCTGTATGAGCTTGGCCATTAACACTACCCAGGGTGAGCGCACAGAGCAGGCTGTGAGAGCAGAGGAGGCTCCTTCACTTGCTGGTGAGGGCATCACATGGGCAGCACCTACATCAGGGGGACACAGGCTGCTAGCCCACATGGCTCCCTCTAGTGCCCTGTGCTGTGGCCTCCACTGCTGCCAGCCTGCAAATCCCAGAGATGAAATCCAGACTTCTAGAAGCACCTGCAAGACCTATCACCAAGTACATGAAACAGAACATACAACTGAAGAAAACCCAAGATACTGAGTTTCAAAACACCAAAACTCTTAATTTTTAAACACAAAATGAAGGTAAGAAGTGATTCTAAAACCAGAAATAAAGATCAAGAACCTTGGGCTCAAAAAAGATTTGGGTCAGAAAATACTTTTTTATTTTTCCTGTCTCCACGAAAAGTCCTTAGTGACTGGGTCATTTATATTTAAAGAGAGATGCACATGAGTTGCATGAACGTATACATGAATTAGCCTGGATTTACTTAAAATGTATATCTGAAAATTTTCAAATAAGCATGTATTGATTAATTATGAACGGGCTACAGAGTCATATATATAATTATAATAAGTAATAAGTAATTTTACTTCAAACTAGCTGGTTAAGTATGTTACTTTTGGAAAAGGTAAAGAATATACTGACATATGCTTCATTTGAGGAAGATTAAAAACAGTCCCTGTCCAAGAAAAGACTGTGTTTGTGTGCATGAGATAGAACAGGAGAGTAAGCATTAGGGTGGGGGACAAGGAGGCAGAAGAGAGGCAGCCACGGACTCCGCAGCAGACATTTTAGCACATGCCCTTGGGACCCCACTGGAGGACCCCCATTTGTGACTTTCATGCTGCTTTCTCTCCAGCTTAGCATGGCAGGGTAAGACAGGTGCAAGAACTCCATCCTATTCAACACTTTAACAAGGACATCTTGCTGCTTATTCTTTATTTTATTGATAGATTAGCATTCTGAGAAACCTGCCCAAATGTCAATATCATATGTGCTTTGAATTCTTAAGCAATTGCAGTAAGAACTCAATTTTAAAAGATCTTTGATAATTTGACTTATTAAGTCATCATTGGTTAAAAAACTTGCAGTATGGACTTAGTGCGTCCTGTTTATCTGATTTTGCAGCTAAAGGAAGCTAACAGAATGACATGGCTTAACACTTCTGAGGAAGGTGTGGTCCATCTGCTGGACCATGACCCTCTGCTGTTTCTCCTTTTCTCTGGGCATCTAGTCACCCAACAGCACCCTCTGAGGTCCCCATTCCCTCCTGCAGCATTACAGGACCCTCTTCTGTTTCCCTGAAGCCCTTCCTTCCCTCGCCTACACTTCTCCTGCTTTGTCCCCCATACCCTCTGTCAAAGTCTCCTTCTGCAGTGGTGACCCCCACATGATGGCAACCATCTCCGTCTCCCTGGCCCAGTTCTCTCTGCTAGGTGTTGGCTCTTGTTGAGAGCCACAGCCGAAGGGGCCCCAGCAAACTTCTAGCTGCCGGCTGATGATTGGCTCACAACGGCCCCAGCAACATCTAGCTGATTGGCTCCTCGGCCCCAGCAACATCTAGCTGATTGGCTCCTCTGCGGTGATGCTCATTGGGCTGTTTCCCTGCCTTTTCAGACCACGGAGCTGCTCATTGGGGGACTTTTTTGGCTCCGCCCACGTGACCCAGCCAATCGGCCTCAAGAGCAGGAGGATTGTGGGAGGTGGAGAGAAGCTTGGGGGGGAGAGAGAGGCTTGTGGAAAGCCGGTGGTGACAGTTGAGGCTCTGAGGGTTTTTCCTGAGAGGCTGTTTTGTTTGGCGTGTGTGGTTCTAAAAATAAAGTTAGTTTCTTTTGACAAGTGGCTCCTGATTGTGCCCAGCCAGACTGCGGCAGGCTCTGTCCCTGTAAACCACCCCCTGAGGCCCCTTTACAATGCACCAGTGCCCTTAACACCAACTCCAGGCACTGAGCCTGCTCCTCATCACTCCACTCCTTCCCACTCTGCCATTCCATTGCCTGGATTTGAAACGCCTTTCTCACCCGGATTTCCCTACCACACCAGCTCTACTTCCCTCGCTGGGTCTAGAGTCTATGTTGTACACACACTTGAGGACCCTGTTCTCCAGTCTAGAATCCTCTGCCCAATGCTACAACACAGCAAGTGCTACCCACGGGTCCTGACCTTCTTCACCTCCACCCAGCTCCACCTTCACCTCACCTCCAGGACGTGTGTGCAGCACTAGGAGCTGTGGTCACCCCTAGCCTGTGGTTCCTCCGGCTGAGGTGGCAAATGACAATGTCATTTTCTTTTAGAGGCAGAAAGACAAGCCCAGCCCATAAAAGAAGCAGTGCCCACTGCTGCCCAGCCACAGCCAAACATCTACTTGATATAAGAGGACAGGACAGCGGGCATTTCCTCAAAGGTCTTTGTATTTCATTGCTGTTTTTACCACAGATTTGATTCTCACTGGTTCACTCTGTGTCTATGCATGTGACTCAAGCTCCACAGGGGAGGGTATTACGTCACTTTTGCATGGTGGCTACAGAGATTGGGTACTTTGTTAATATGTGTTGATACAAGATTGGACAAATGAGGGAGGGAAGGGAAAAGAAAGCAGAAAGGGGGAAGGGAAGAAGGAAGAAGAAGCTGGCCTGAACTGAAGGTCGTTATCACCCCCATGCTTGCTAAAATCTGGGTCAAAATGTTCCCATCATGCCCTTTGGCAAGGGTTATATAAGTGAGTGTGAAGGTAAACAAGAAACACGCCTTTACCCAATGTGGATGGGTCTCAACCCAATGTGTCACAAACTAAAGGTGAATGATGAAAATCATTGTAATTGGCTTTCATCTGGTAAATTTACCTTTGAAAAATTGTCATAGAAAATAAAACCATACATATCTATACATCTGAAACTCAAAACTCTAGTCAAAGTCATTTGCAGGGGAAAAAAAAGTATGCAAGAAATAGATAAAGCCTTCTTCATCTTTCTTGACATTCTAAGGTGAGCTTTACGAAAAGGGGGAAAAATGGCACTTCCTGTTAATTGCAGCTCAGCTCCCCAAGGAGAGGGGAAGAAGAGGATGGAGCTCCAGAATAGGAGCTGGCTGTGGAGCCAGAAACAGACACTGTTGGGGCACAACCACTCAGAATATGTGCCTTTTGGTGCAAATGTCACCCTTTAATGTTATGAATACTCATGTGAGCATCATGTATTTGTAGTATATCTCTCAAATTGAAAACCATAGACACCTATTATGTCTCAATCATGGCAGCTACTGAAAGACTCCAAAATGATTGAGCTGATTCAAAATCCAAGAATAACTGTCTTGACATGAAGGTATCAATACATATTATACGAATGGTATATTTGTTTCATCTTAGAAATGAGTAATTAATTTATATCCTAGGTTCCAGATTAAATACATGATGCACACCTACATTTGAATCCTACATAAACCCTGAAAAATATTTTGGTGTTACTATGTGACATTCATTACCACTCCAGGCTTTTGTGAAATTTAATTTAAGTGGGCATTCTGTATTTTTGCTTGTTAAATCTGACATCCCACAATATCATGAAACTAACATTCATGTTAATACTCCCACTTTATAAAGAAATCCATATGGGGCTGGGAATATAGCTCATTAGGTGGACTGCATGCCTCACATGCACAAGGCCTTGGGTTCAGTCCGCAGCACCACAAAAAAAAAAAAAAAAAAAGAAAGAAACAAAGAAAAAAAAAAGAAATCCATATGCAATAGAATAAACTTGAACCCCATCTCTTGCCTTGCACAAAACTCAACTCAGTGTGGATCAAAGACCTAGGCATTAGACCAGAGACAGTGTGCCTACTAGGATAAAATGTAGGCCCAACTCTCCATATGTCAGCTTAGGAAATGACTTCCTCAACAAGACTCCTAAATCACAAGCCATAAAATCAAGAATCAATAAATGGGATGGTATCAAATGAAAAAGCTTCTTCACAGCAAAGGAAACAATCAAGAACATGAAGAGAGAGCCTACAGAATGGGAGAAAATCTTTGCTACCTGCACCTCAGATAGAGCACTAATCTCCAGGATATATAAAAAACTCAAAAAAACTTAACCCCTCCAAAACAATTAACCCAACCAATAAATTGGCTAAGACTCTGAACAGACACTTCCCAGAAGAAGAAATATGAGTAGTCCATAAATACGTGAAAAAAAATTCAACATCTCTATCAATTAGAGAAATGCAAATTAAAACCACACTTAGATTCCAACTCACTACAGTTAGAATGGCAATTATCAAGAATACAAATAAAAAT